GCGGAGGCAGAATTGCAGCTGAGGAATCCCCAGCGCACGGGCCTCTGCCTAACTCCGCCCGCTGTGACCCACCGTCAAGGGCCCACTGCCTCAGGTCACTGCTCTAGGTGCCGGCTGTGTGAGGAGAGTCTTTGCTTCCCTCCATCAACCCTACTGTTTAAACACCTGTGTCATCTGTGGCTTCTCTACGACAAGCCTGAGTTTAGCGCTATGTCTGCAACCATCATTCCTGCTAAGACGACCTGTCATCACATTACGGGTTGGCAAACGTAAAAGGCAGAGGTTCTGAACTGGCTTTTATTCCGAAAGGCCTTCCAAGACATAGGAACTCAGAATGTCAGAGCTGGCAAGGACTTGAGACCATCCACATCCACCCTAACTCGGGCCTTGTGACAGGAAGAACACACTCCGCAAGCTCAATGCTGGCCCCTTCCGAAAGCGTTCACCACGAACACCACCCTTACTATGAAAAGCTCTTCCCTTAAAACTCTATTTTAGCAAAAAACAATTTTGTGCGGGCTGAGAGAGACCTTCCAGATTCAACTCATCCAAACACACCACTCCCTGTGGTGGCAGCAGTGTGGGACACAGGCCCTGTGGGGGTTCTCCAGGTGCCATGAGCAGTGAGCGTGATGTAAGGCCCTCGCCAAGACGGAGGGTGATTCTAGGCTCAGCCTCAAAGAAGCTAACAGTCAAAGGATTCACCTTCTGTACTCTAGAGACGCACCTGGTAGAAGGTAAGTGATGCTTATTTGCCTACGTTAGTGACACAGGTGGTTCCACGTTTTTCTATTTTCCATTCTGATCACCACCAACTCTGGCTGCTGCGCCCCTCAAGTGCCCCTTGCGTTGCCCCTGGCGTGCTACGCTGGAGCTGAACCCTAGGTTCCATCCTGTAGGGCAGCTCTCGGATGGGAGGAAAGGGGAAGGATGAACTTAGCGAGAGTAGTGTAAGGCAAAGGGGACGTTGTGAATTGGTCTCGTTGGAAATATAAACATTTCTAGTATTTGTTTCCTTTCTGTGACCAAGACTAAGTCAATAAAAAGAGCAAAGTGACAAGTTTTACAAGTTGAGGCAGTGGGAGGAAAAAAATCATTTGGAGTTACTGAGAGACTAAAGTGATGACATGACACCTATTTCAACAGTACGTCAATGCCTCCTGCGCCCTCGGGAGCGTAAGGCAGACCTGTGGTCCTCAGCGTGGCCTGCGTCTGAGACTTGTGGGGGCACAGATGCGGTCTCCATGCCTAGGCCCCAACCCCAGCGATTCCGGGGTAATGGTGGACGGCACCAACCAAACACAAGTAAGGCCAGCAGCGCACCAGGACTTGCTGTATCCTTATCCTATCTTAATACACCTAGTGTCTGTCTAATTTGTGACTACAGTGCTATGAAGAAGGAAGAATGTCCCCAGAGCCGGCCCAGAAGGAGCCATCGAACACCAAGGCTGTCTCTCTGCAAAGATGCGTAAACAGCAATCTTCAAAAACAAGCTTTTCCCACGAAACACCAAGCACTTTTCAATGGAATAATGTTCACAGGGAAGTCTAGTTTCAGACACAAAATTACTGCCTTGAAAAACAAATTGTGGCATGTACACGTTTGTACATATACACATACATGTGTACATGTCCTGCTTCTATAAATATAAAAGCTAAAAAAAAACCAAAAAAAAAACAAATTGTGTACTTAAACTTTTTGTTCATTTTAAATAAGTTGTATCTTTATCCTCTCCCCAAATCACCTTAACAATACATAGCTAGATGAAAGAAACCCAGTCCTCTCGAATTCCAAGTTTTCTCTTTATTCAGACTTTCAAGTCTAGCCAAGCCTCGAGACCACCAAGAGAACCTGAGCACCGCTCACAGAGAGCATCAGGCCCTTCTTGGCTGATCTAAGTATTTATATCCATTGCAGTCATTAAAATAGCTTATCGTCCACAAGCAGACAGACACTTGACCTCAATAGGTGAGTTTTTCATATTTGAAATTTATGGAAATTTAAGTTGTTAACCAGAGAATTATGGAAAAATTGCTGAGGTATTAAGGCTGAGAAAATTTTGGAACTGGAGATTAGGGAGTATGCTCCTTCCTTCTGTCCGGAAGGTCAGAGCAGTATGAATCAGAGACATGTAAGATGAACAAGTGAGGAGAGACAAACATGTAAGGACAGCTCCGTAATGTCCCTGGGGTTTGGAAGGTGGGAGAGGCAGACCACTTGCTCACCCGACACTGCCAGAGGGTGTGACCCAGCCAGAAGGACGATGCACGCCAAGGTTGGAGAGAGAAGGGGCCACATTGAACCCACTCACTGTTGTGTCCTTCAAGCCCAAGAGGATTCTTACAATGAAAAGGGGCTCAAAATGCGATGCTAGACGGGTGGATGCTCGTGGACAGCAGGCTCTGCCAGCCCAGCACGCACAGATCTATCACGGCTACAAAGGCAGGCCCCTTCCACACGCAGGGCAGGAAGGGGCGGGTGCAGGTGGGGCTGAGCAGAAGCAAATCAAGGCCTCCTGCTTCCTCAGGCAGCTGAGGCCTCTGGCCCCCGAGTCTGAGTGTCTTTCTTTGGACTCCACTCCTAACTCCTCCTGGCTCGTTGCCCCGACGTGTAGATGAAGGCCTTGGATCTCCTACACAGACACTCTGGTCAAGATGCCTGATTTCCTGGACCTGGACAGGACTCTGTCAGAGGCTCGTCAAAAGCCCACAGGTGGATCTCCCCTTCCCCGATCCACACTTGTCGCTGACCTGGTTCTGACGCTGTAAGGGAACAGATCATCTTAAGAGTTTCTTTGCATTACCGGGGGGAAAAAAGGAGAAGAAAGGGAAAAACGGTTCTGATTTTGAGCCCCTAATTGCTGGCTGCGGTTAGTTCACAGCAGGTCTGCTTGTCAAAGCAACATCTTCTTGGTAAAGATAGGCATGAGCGGGTTTGTGAGGGGCAGGGAAAGACTTTGCAGGTGCTAGAATGTCGGAGAGAAAAACAAAATAGTGCTACGACTCAGCACCAAGCAAAAACCCAACCTCCACCAGAAGTTTACAGGACAAAGTCAAGTGTGATGAATACCTAGTTCTTTCTCCTTGGTTAGCCTGCAATTGGGAACACCAGGAAGCAAGGAACACACCACGAGACAGCCATACCCTCGAAGAAATCTTTCAGAACAACCGTTATTTTGTAGCATGCTTAAGTTTACCAGGGCTCCTCTGCAGAACAGATTAACTTGAAAAAAACGTTGTACTTTATTTTCAATTCAAACTCAAGGACTAAAATACACGATGCAACTTTAGAAACACGCTGGCAATGGGCTCAAAGACAGCACGGCCCGATCCCTATCCGAGCTCAGTGCTACACCACGGGAGCCCACGGCTGTGCCACACGCACAGGCAGCTTCGCCAGAGAGAAAAGAGGACACCTCGGCTTTTGGCCAAAATCTGAAAATTCTTTGCCTTTCTCTTTGGATTTCTGGAGAAATAATAGCCTAATTCTTCCTGCTTCTTAGTGAGGTGACAATAAGTTCACGTCTAGGCCCCGAGGGAGCTGGAACATGGGTGGGCCTGCAATTAATGAGAAGAGCTAATCAGTAGCTGTGTCCTGCGCAGGTTTGTCTAGCTCAACGGGATGACTAACCCTCAGCAGCCAGGGGACGGCCTCCGGGAGGAGTCATGACTAACGTAAAGAGGGCGCAGATGATAAAGGAAGGAAGCAACTGGAATGTTCCAAAATTTAAAGCAACTGGATATGGCAGAGTGTAGTGATGTTCTCTCTGGAGGAAAAACAAACTGCATACTCCTAAATCTGAAAGGATTGGCTATTTGCCAGTATTGCAGAAAAATGAAGAATGTGACATAGTGTGGTTCAAAGCCTATAAACTCTACCCATTCTGTGCTTTTCTAGAAGCTACAGATAGACCCATGTTTCTTAAATGGACCTAAAGTCTCAAACTAGCTTTTCACTAAGATGAAAGACTACACCATGCTGTAGTCATACTTTAAAAAGCAAAAAGAATAGGTAAATTAATTTTAATAATACATTTACTTAACCCACTCTATGAAATATATTATCATCTCCACAGGTAATGACAATAAAATAAGTACACATTGTTTTTTCACACTAAAAATACAGTGTGTACTTTATGCCTGCAACATCTCAATCTAGACTAGCCACGTTTCAAGGGCTCAGCAGCCATGTCTGTGCAGCGGCTGCCAGGGTGGATATTCAGGATAAAGACTCATCTCTCCACGGGAGCCGTTACCGATCCATCCAGATACACGCACCAGAGCAGTCCTGCTCCAGGTACCCTTAGCTAAAGGAGTGGTCTAAGAAGGCCGAATGCTGTTCTGTTCCAGTGTCCGGCTATTTATTTCCATTTCAAAGCAATTCTTTCACGAGGCCACAGTTGCAGAATCCCAGCACTGAGCCCTGCCTGACTCAGCCCCAACCTCTCTCGGGCCTGGCGCGATTCCCTCTCCGTGTTGGCAGCTTGTGGAATTTGGGATGTCCTTAGACGCTTTTGTTTCCATAGCTAGAAAAATGGGGTGGTTTAACTCTCAGGGCCTGCATGTTTGATTTTCTAGAATTTATCACTAACAAAAGAAAGACTGAATGAGAGAAAAGCTGACTGAGGAGATGCTGAATATGGTGCGACCTCCCCTCCCCATTTCCAGCATCACCTGGAGGAGAGCAGGACCCTCTCTTTCTTCTCCATTTATGAATGACACTGGCCCCAAAAGAACACCCCCCTTCCTCTTCTCTAAACTGATGTCACGCCTTACTACATCACCCTGGCAAGTGAGGAAATCATTTACTTCTGACTAACAGGTGACATCCTCACTTTCACCGCAGCTGCTGATGGACTAGAAATGCCCCGAGAGACAGTGACAATGTGTATGGTTCACAAGGAGGATCACACAGGTTAAAAGGCAGCAAAGCCGTGGAGAAAGAAGGCTCCAGTGCCACTTCCAGCAGGTATTTGTCACCTACGTTCTACGGACCCCTACCTTTGTGGTTGAAGATGCCCTCCATTTCCATGCTGCTTCTGGAGTGGGCGATGCACAGAGAGCCGCAGGGGACCAGGCCTTCTGCCGCGGGGGAGCGGTCAGTGGTTCGCACCAGACACCAGTCAGGCTTGTCGTGCGGCCGCTCCAACACCTCCACAGTCTGGCCGCGGCGGATGGTCAGCTCGTTGCTGTTGCAGGCCGTGAAGTCGTGGATCACCACCGTCAGCTCACAGCCACCGGAGAGCTGGGAGGGACAGAGGGAGAGAGGACCTGTCAGCAGGGGTGAGCCACGGGGCCTTCGCGGTGGAGCTCTGATCTCAGCCAGGAATGCCACCTGCCATCCTCCAGGTGAGTCGAAAGCCTCACCTGCCACCCGGGTGAGAGCTCCCAGGCTGTGCACCCTTCACTTCCCTTTGGAATCACACAATTGTGTACTTTTTCATATTTGAATATACAATGATGATTTTGTAAGCATTTCACTATCAGAATTGGATATGCTTTTTCAAATTTTTGTACCTGAGACATTCTATCTCCCTCTTCACAAAGTGCTACATACTCATTTTTTAACCTATAGCAAACTAATAAAAACTCTGCTTGAAGGCTATTTGGGGAATTACTGTAAAATATGGTGATAAAATGAGATACAGTTCTGCTCCAGATTTCCGCTCTGACTTGGTGTTTGAGTGTTCCCTGCTTCGCAGCACGTGGTCTCTTTAAGCGTCGCTTGGATCAGGAAAGCAGCAGCCACAAGAGTGGGGAAGAGAGAGGCAAAGGGTTCGTGACCCCGAAACACGGAGCCACGCACACCCATCTCCCCTCGGAATCCTCCAGGAGGCTCCTGGCGTGCCACCCCCGCCCGCTGCCCTCTGACTCCCCTCCATGCTCAACACGCCCGAACACAGGCTCACTTCCCATGTGCCCTGTGTTTTCTGGCCTTCCCATGTTTGCGTGTGCTGTTCCTTCAGCCTGAAATCCCTTTCCCTTCTCTTCTCTCACTATGCGCACTCCCATTCCTGCCCACTGAAACTCCACAATTCTTATGCCCTTAGAAGCCCATCCACAACCTCCATATGACACGCACTCCATGATCTCTGCCTGTAAGACGGGCACACGGCCCTCTCGTTGACCATTTGGTATACATGGCCTGAGCCCTGAGTGTCCTCCCCCAGCCTGTGAGCTCCTCGGGGACAGGGCTCACATGCTCATTCATGTCTTTCCTACGGAAGTAGCTTATGGCCAGCTCCCTGTCTCTCCGCTGTCCCCTACATGGGCTCTTCAACCACACCCTCGTACGGATGACTGCCCGGTGTGTGTCCCACCGGCAGGCCCATGCCGGGCAGCTGGGTCTAAATCCCTGTCCCTCCATGCAGGGAGTTAGGGCACGACTCATGGTGCCCCAGCCCCCGTCTGTGTCTCTTCCAGTGCTGCCTTTGGGTGACGGTGTCGCCACCCGAGCTAAAACAATCCCACTCTTTCCCCTCCAAATGCTGCCGAGCTGCTGTTAGGGTGGCTTGCTGATCCCTCTCTTTCTCTGCATCCCCACACCAATCACTCCATTGGGGTTCTCCTTCCAAACCACCTAAACCCCGCTGCCAGGTGACCATTTAAAAACATGGATTCTTCTACTCAAACACGTCATCCTTCTATTCAAAAGCCTTACACACAAATTGCTTAGCACAGGACTCAGAGTTCCCACAGCCGGGTCCCCACCCCCTTCCCAGGCTCACAGGTTTTGTGGCCAGATGTGCCTCTGTCTCGCTCTGTGCTGTTCACTACCCTCCTGTTCTAAGAGCCCATCTTTTAGGATAAAGTTAGATATTTAAAATAAGAAACACATGTCCACTAGACAAACACAAAGAGCAAAACAAAACAAAACTCAAAGACAAAGCGAATCATCTTTGCCAGGCCACCAAGAAACTTTTCATTAATGTTTAATCCCCTCCTAAATTTTACAAACTTCTCTGCGGAAAAACCATGCCAAGTTTTACACATGTCTCTGTGAACAATCAAAGATGCTAACATTAAAAGGTCCACGGTAGAGGCCTGATCTGGAAAAGAGCTTTCCTCCTAGAACGACACTCGTGGAAGTGGTTAATCCCAGTAACAAAGAAGGGGATGATTCCTGTTCCAGGGAGGACAGGACCAGTCTACAAGCCCAACAGAGTCCAGCTTGCCTCGGCCCCCCAGGGCCTGCCCTGCCTGTCCTCTGTGGCTGGAGCTCTCCCAGGTGCCAGCTGCCTGCTCCTTCACCGGAACCCCCACTGGGAACCCCCTGGGTCTCCCTGACACTCCTCCAGCGGCCCCCACTCCGGGACCCTGGGAAGCACACTATCTCCCCTCGCCCCTGCCTGCCTTGCTCTGCAGAGTCTTATTAGTTTTCCAGACTGCTCAAAGCCAGAGCTGCGTTCTGCAGGTGGGGGAAGGGTGGGAAGGGGAGAGAGGGGCTGTCCAGGAGAAGTAAGCTGGACTTTATTTCTGGCACTGATTTCTTTAGCCCCTTACAGAGTAATCAAAAACTATTAGAAACATCTGTGTACTTGACAGAGCATAAGAAATAAAAATCAAGCCTGTTCTGCCAAAGACTCATATACAAAGTTAAAATTCTTTTTTAAAGGCTTTTGAGAACTTGTTAAGAAAATCCAGTACCAGAATAGTATTTCAAACAGTGTTAAAATTATCATCTAAAAAAAATCTCCAGATCTCCCAATCAATCCACTGGCTTTGCCCATGAGAACAGACAGGAAGCATACCACTAAGGGAACGGCTGTTTTCTAGCCCAGAGAAAAGCTGTCCCATGGATTTCTGTCTCAGTGTTCACATTTGAATATGTTAAACTTCTTGCTGCAAAAAAATCTCTTTAAAACCAGGCTTGCTAATTAAAAGAATTTTTTTGTGTATGTATAAAGGACTTGTAATAACTATTTTGAGGGAGCAATGTAAATCACTACTGCCTTTTAAGAAGAGCTGAACTGCTAACTAGAAAAGTTCAGATACTACATCATGTATTATTAAGTAGGATGGATGTCTTGCTTCCAGTGACATTTCCACCCCCAGTGGCCCAATGCCATTACTATGCCGAAAGAGTTACCATTTCATTTATCTAGTATAAAAATTCACCTTTCTGTTCCAACAATATTTTGCGAAAGTTTTCACAGTATTTTTTTCACTTTTGTATATTTTATGGAGTTCTATAATATCATGTGCTCCCTACCACATGCGTTTAGTTTAGGATTGCAATTTATGAAAATCTCAATTTCTATCGACATGGATATCAGAAGATAGATTTTCACCTTTAAAAAATGAACTCGGTGACTAATAAGCATGACAATAAAATGGCCATAATAGGACCACAGGCCACGGAGGCACCACTGACATACCTCCTCCAAAGGCCACACCATGTCCCTCTTCAGAGGGCCATGGGGGGAACTCCAGTGACCCAGACACATGGACAATTCAGCCAAATCAAATGTGGGTTCCTTTCCTGAATTTTCTCCAGAATGACTGAAAATAAACAACTTGCTGTGTTTCACCCAAAAGAATGAAATACTCATCTTTGGTTGTGACCGTTTAACCTTCAACAATCGCCACACAGAATGGGATTTTACTTTTTATATTTTCCAAAGAAACCATGTCCTACCATTGCCTTGCCTGACCCCACCCACTCAATGAGGTAACTGAAACAGACCCGTGGACGGGGAGTCTCACCCCTCTGCCCGGGGAGCACGCCCCTGCCCTGGTGTACCATACGAGGCAGCTTTATCTGACAAGCACATAGAGTTCTTGGTGCACAACAGCAGGCCCTGGCTTGAATTCCCAAGCCCCAAGATGAGTTCTGGGGCAAGTTCTGCCAGAAGAAGAGGGGGCTCTCTGTGACTGGCGTGGTGGATGATGCAGTCCTCGCTGCAAACGATTCCACTTCAAGAACCAAAGTCTAATGCAGTAAAGATCAGTTGCAGGTGGGTATCTGGCCAATTTTCTGAGAGCGATTCAAAAGGAAAGGGGGAATGTGGTCTAATAAAAGCCATTTTCCCTTAAAGAACAAAGTGTATCAACGCCTGTGAACAGTCACCTCCTACAGCCCGCTACGGTTCAGTCATTCAGAAACCTCACAAAAGGGTCTTGCAGTTCTGTGAAGGTTTCACACAGAGTAGACCAAAAAAATGATCACTTGGCTCAAGGGGATTAGCGAGTACAGCTCTATTACTGGCAACGGTCACAAAAAGAGGCAACCACAGGCAGCCAGAACAAACTCCCTAATAAATGCCATTGCGTCCCAGGCTCTCGCCCACCTAAGCTTCTCTGCTGGGCAGCTTCATGGAGGCCGGGGCGTATCAGCGCCGCCCTGACAGCAGGAGGAACGGGCCTCCTGTGTTCACGCCAACACCGGTTCACATGAGGCCGTGTTCACTAAAATGTGCTGCCCAGAGTTTAAGAGGACTACTGTGATAGGCTCCTACACACTGGGGGCACAAAAAGGAATCTGTGAGAACCCAAAAACGGTTAAGATGATAAATTTTATGTTACATGTTTTCTACCACAATTTTTAAAAAGGCAAAAAAAAAAAAAAAAAAGAAAAAAATCTATGAGAAAAAACTTTTTCAAAACCAGCAATTTACCACACTCAACATTTTAGCCAGAAAAGAATGAGTGAGTCCAGAATTTGGGGATGTCAGTTCCTCTACTCTTCACTCCCATGACCACACACCGGTTTTCTTATGTGAAAGTAAGTCTTGGAAGCCTTCCTTGAATGTGTTATACACACGAATTGGAATGGAATATGAGATGTACAAAAAAGGCTGAATTTAAAAGATAACAACTAGAAGCTTAGGCAAATCAGGAAGAGGACAGCCTCTGGGTGCTGCAGCCCCTCACGCTCACCGCCGCAGAACGAGCGGGGCCGCAACAGGCCACACGGCGTGCAGGTGGTACCCAAACAAACCTGTCTGCTGCACTTCCTGAGTGACCAAAGCAATCCTTTATTCAGAAAACTTACTCTGAAATGTCTCTTTTTATCTTTAATGGAAGGACACCAATCTGAATAACTAGCACACTAACCAGCTAACATTAACCAGATGACTGGGCCCCTCACAAGGAAGGAAAGCAACAGAATAAAACACCTGCTTCATGTCTGAATCAGAACTTTATCATCATCTTCAATAGCAACTTTGAGCACGTCATGTAAAATTTACATTAAAAAGCACTTTAGTGCTCTACTATTTTTATAAACACTTCTAATTTGTTACA